TGATAAATGGTAAATATATTGGTAACTGATAAACTAGTTATAGTCTGGATTCCTTTCAGGGAAGATAAGATTGTCTGAACCAGAGTGAAACTTTAAAACTGCATCATTAAAAGGAAGGTAATACAAGGCAGCATGACAGAATGAAGCAAATAAAACATTTTAAAAGCAAGAAAGTAAAACCACAAAAAATTAGCAAATTAAGATATTTTTACATTAGAAAAATCTAGATGAAGATTTATTATAGTTTCATGTTAGTTCAAACTCATTTAAAATATGAGGGAATCTTTCTTAATTTGGAAAAGATAAAATGCCAAAATGGTTTAAAGAATTGAACTAAATAGATACTAAGGCAAATGGAAGAGAAATTTGAAGTGGTTCAAGGTCTTGCATTTTAAAGTACAAGGATATAACTTCTCCTGACACCATTTTATGCTTGTATCTAACAGCTCTCATTCAGAACCAGAGTACAGAATCTGTAGTCATCTACTTTAAGCCTCTCCGTCTTATATAAGCCTTTGAATGATTTGTATACCATAGTAAACATAATTTCTTTCCCTGTGTATTTTTCAAAGATGATACTTCATTAGATTTCTGAATATAAGATTATCTACAACCATAAAAAAAAATGCAATCACGGTTTCCTTTTAACACTAAACCTGGAGAAGCTTTTCAAAGCCCCAGAGGGTTAAGAGAAAGGAGGAGCCATTACAATTCAGTGGCCACCTGCAGTGCTTTTCAAGGACACAGTCCTGTTTAAACACAGAGCTCCTATTTGAGGAAAAGCAAAACTATGTCTAAGAAATGCAATCAGTATTTTCATTTACTTCAAATTAAAACATTCTCTGGCGTCCATTTTTGTTTATAGTGTTTCTTTCTAGAAAAAATGGAAAGCAAGAGTGAAAAACCTAATACACATTTCTTTTAAACTTTCATCCATAGTGTTACTTTAGACCACCAAATTCTCCATCACTTTCATTGCAATGATTTACTCTCTGTATTTATTGTCTTACCATGGTGTCTGAGACAGCCAGAGTAGAAAACCCTTGGTGTTATATTTTGTTTACTATCTTCCAATCACTGTATTTATCACTTAATCATCTACGACTTCCACTTCCAGTGTCAAAACTGACCTGATCTGCTATAGCTTTCTCAATTTCTCTTCTCTTCCATGATTTGTCTAATACATATCAGATCAATTTAAACATATTAACTACACACATTATCTTATTTCAATTGCAAAGTTTTTTTCCTCAGAGATTAACCTAAGAATTTATTAGTGAGGCAAATAGAACTTTTAATGTAGTGAAAGACCCATGTCTTCTTAATTTATCCAGAAATAACAAAAGTATTTTTGTCACATTAGTCAGATGTAAAACGTAAATTGGATTTCTACAATGATGGCCAATCGTGATTTTTATTTGATTAGCACATGAACAGATTGAATTTAAGTATGTTCCCTGGGTTTGTAAAAGATCTAAGAGAAGAGTACATGTTGTAGTTTATATCTAGATGTCCCCCAAAGCCTCAGGTGCTCATCTGTGGTGCTTTTGGGTGGTGATTGGATCAGTGGATTAATCCATTGATGATTTTATAGCTAAATGTGGTGTTGGAAGGTGAAGCCTGTTTGGAATAGTCAGGTGACTAAGAGTGTAGCCTAGAAGGGTCTACCTCCCTCCTCCTACCTTGAGCCCTCTTGGCTTCTCACTGCCATGCCATTAGAGGTTTCTTCTCTGCCATGTTGCCCTGCCTTGGAACCAGCCAACTATGCACTGAAACTTTCATGAACTGTGAACCAAAATAACTGTTTCTTTCTTTGATTTGTAGATGTCAGGTATTGCATCTCAGCGACAAGAAAACAATTAACAAGTACATATTAAATTGCTTTTGCATCATAAAAATATACTTTACAGATCTATCAATTTGGTCTTCACCAACATAACATTTTTTGAGTTTACTTTGGCCAATTGCCAGTTCCATGTTATTTAAATGATTTATACTTAAAATGCTTAAAATGAGTTGTATAAAAAGCCTACCTGGTAAACTTTCTTTTTAAAAAATAATTTTAAAAAAATCCTACATTTATCTTGAGCCTGTATTTATTCTTATATAAATTTGACTGGAGGTATAGTTCATGTTACTAATTGGGTTTTTTTTATTTGCTTTGGTCCCTTTAAGTCCCAGATATTTTTAGTGTCCATAATCATTTGAGACCATAAGTGCACAGATCAAGGGTAACAACAGAATTTACTATTTTGCCTTTTGACCATATGGCCTGATAAAGTTTGTGGGCCCTTTATGATATCTATTAAAACAGAATTTTAGGATTGAAATAAAAAATCAGTATCTTTTGAAGATTCCTGGATGTCTTGACATGGATGTTTCTGCCCTCTGCAGCTGATAGGCACACACTTGTAAACTACAAATTTTCCTCTCACCTAGCAATCTTGCTTAAGTTTCCTAGAATGACTTTTCCTTTCTTTATCTACCTCAACTTATCTTTTCCCACACTAAACCTTCAAGAAATGAACTTTTCTACTCTCTGATATGTCTTTTCTCTACTCTGTAAAAATGATGGTGCTTACTTTTTAATATTTTGCTTCTATTCTTTACATTGAAAAGGGAGTGTAATTTTGTTCCATGTCCCCTACCCAATCATAAAGAAAATAGTTCTCATCTGAGGCAAGACCATCTTTGGAGATGAGCTCCAGGCCTCATCATCTCGTGGTCTTGAATCATGCCATCTTGACTCTAGAGTTTAATAATTATATTATGACCCAATTTCCAGACAAACATTTAGCAAGCACATCCTAGGTGATTCTTATGTGTCAGGCTTTCTGTGTGCTCTGGGAAAACTTCAAGGAATAGGTCAAAGACCACTTGTTCCAGTGTCCTACTTGGGAAGACATGCAACCAAACACATGGCACCATATTACCCAAGTGGTACAATGGAAATGACAACAGAGTGCTGTGGACATAAATGCTATTTATCTTTAGATGGCCCACAAGCCAGTTTTACATCTCTTTAAGACCTGCTATTAAAGAGAGCACCTGTCAATAATTTGATATAAAGTTGCTGAAAAAGACTAACTGTACCATATTTTACGTGTCTTGCATCTCCTCTTCCTTGACTGTATTTGATTTTGACCACAGTCCTTTCACTCAGTGTCCCTTAACTTTGACTTGGATGTCATACCATAAATGAAGAGATGAAGTACTTTCTCTAAAAATAATAATAATAATGGAGGAAAGAATGGAGGTAGAAGATGGAATGCTTATGTTTACAAATAAATATTTTAGATTTATAATTCAATTTAAAAATAAAAAATAATTCATTTTGGGCTCAGATTCACAGCTGTGTGCCCACCTATATATGTTTGAGCTTTCAAGGATCCATTACCAAGGGAGAAAAATAGAACTGTCCTTAGCAGTTACCTTCTCCCTCATCTATTGTTAGTCTGGCAACCATTAAGATGCTGAAGGAAATAGTTTTATTGTAGCTCCATCCAGACCCAGCATTTACCATGCTGCATAAACCTCAGTGTTGTCCTGTATATTCAAGACCAACATTCTAGTGCTAAGAGAATACTATGTTCTACTAAGAGCCATTTTCTTTCACAAAGATTTTCCACATACTCCCACAAAGAGGATTCCTAAATAGATGCAGAGGCAGCCAATTCCCTGGGAAGGAGTCTAATGTCATCAGTACAGGACAGCAGCTATAGCTTCTAGCTCCATTTAGCCTCACAGATCTGTTCTCTGGAAAAGGAAAGAAGAGTTAGGATGATGTATAAGCAGGTGAGGGTAAAACTGCTTCTCCCTGGGAGGCTTTTGAAAACTGACAGGTACTGTGTTAAATCTGCCATATGAATAATAACTTCACCTGGAGAAAATATTGCAGATGTCGTTAATCCCTGAAGAAGGTGATAAGTAAAAGAAAAAGAAAAAAAATCCTTCTAACAGAAAATATCTACTCTCCTAAAAATAGAAGTTAAAGCCTTCATAGGATTTTCTGTCCAAGCCCTTAGACAGGTCATTTGCCCCTCCACCTAGCAAACTCTGCTGTTGAGTTTTATTTATACTGTGATGTGTGCAATGATGTTACTATCATGTGAGAATGCAGTTAAAGAATACATTAAATGTCACGCAGGCTCAGACAAAAGTAGTCAAAATTTTTTTTCAAAGTGCGGCCATTAGTAGAAAACACTGGCTTCAGTAAGGATTGCTATCTGACCTCAAAATTCATTAAGTTTATAATGAGCTGAGTCAAGAAGGGATCTACTATATACTAAAATTTAAAGATTTAAAATGACTTAAAATTCTGGATATGTTAAAATAAAAGTGAGTGTGGGCATGTGCATGCTCGTGTGTGTGTGTGTGTGTGTGTGTGTGTGTTTACAGCAGTAGTTACCAAAAGGTACATAAAAACAATTTTGTTTATAAAACTTTTTCCCTATAGTTCATAAAGCTCTACGGCAAACTATATGACCTCCAATGTCCTCACACCTAATGGATTAAAAATATCCACGGAAGAAGATGTCTGGGAAGGTAGAAAAAGATGATGTAAGTTATGGCCTCATCCCTCTTTGACCTTTGCTTCATTTAAAGTGAGGCAAACACCTGGACCAAGAATATTAACAACATGAGAAATAATCTTTCTTTTTCCTCTGCGGAAATATACCTGGGGCAGCAAAGCTAATTTACTATCTGAAGTAACAGGAAGAGAGAACTGGGGATAACAATGTAGTTTCTTGAGATTCCATTCATATTTTCTCTACTTGCTCCATTTTGTATTTGGCAACACTCTAAGAGAAGGGAATTGGAACCTTCATATCGTCCCCGAATACCCGCATTGTCAGGGTTCAGCAGTGAATGTGCTCACAGTTACAGGGACACAAACCAGCATTTCTCTGGAGCTAGGGTTAGTTCCAATAGATATTTTATTGCTTTGTTTCATCTGTCAATAAACCATTAGTAGCTGATGGTAGAGAAAACCTGTTTACCATTTGATGAAACTGGGAAAAGACTCATCTTTAGCTCCAGTGGGCATAAGATCACTATCATCCTGATGAGCTGTCTCTGTGGTTGCCAGGAAGGTACCCTCCTTGGTCATCAAATGCAACCAGGGTGTGGTCAACAATTGGCTGTGATCTAGTAACAGGATCTCATTCAGGTGAAGAGTCTTCATGGATGGTGAGGCAAAATGTATTTCCTAATAGAAAGAGAAAAGGACATCAAAAAGAAAGAACTCAAACACAGCAGTAATGGCTGTATGCTTTGGGTCAAGGTGGACCTCATGAACTCTCCTAAGCAGAGACTGACTTCCAGGGGTTTGTGGATTATCCAAGGGCACAATAAATACCACATTATTTTCCACATTTTGCTAGCGCTTGAAGGTTCCCATGGGCTTGCAAATATGGAGGACAGCAGCAGTGGCAAGCCCAGCACCCAAGGCTGCTGTCACTGTCTTTCTCACTGGTTCATCTCACCTTTTCATCTAGAGAGTTCCACTGATGCTGAGCATTTAAGTAGCTGCTTCTACATGTCCAGAGGTTTAAAGGATTAAGTAAGAATTTGCTATTGTTGTTATTTTTTGCTTTTTTTTTTTTTTTTTTGGTACCACGAATTGAACTCAGGTCCTTGTGCTTGCAAGGCAGGTGGCGGAACCACTGAGCTAAATCCCCAGCTCCATTTTTTGCTTTTGAAAAAAATTTTTATTTTGGGGCTGGGAATTTAGCTCAGTGGTTTCGCCGCCTGCTGCACAAGCGCAAGGATTCGAGTTCAATCCCCGGTACCAAAAAAAATTATTTTTACCGGTACAGGTTTGCAGTACAAAATGCTTGTATTCCATGTAGGCTGTTGGTGCACGTACGTGACATAGGTCAATTCTCCCTTCCCCCTCCCTCATTGCTTGGTTTCATTTTCCTTTGCAACTTTAATTTGCTTTCAATAAGGCTCATTTCAGAGGCCTGTGTTCCCAGAGCCTTGGTTCTTTGGGATGTCTTTGCTGATATACATTCCTCTGGGGCTTATCTTTCACTTCCTATGGTTCTTACCTCCTCATCTCCAGGAGGTCAGATTCTTCTGAGAGGCATTTTGGCTTATGCCTCTATAATTACGCCTGATAACTTTCTTTGTAAGAATAGGAACAACATGTTAGGCTTATTGGTGAAAACTTGGCGCTCTCTACCATCAGAGTTTCAGCTTCCATTAGGATCATACTAAGCTAGGCCAAAGGAAGAGAAAGAATTCACTTTCTTTGCAAAGGTCAGCCTTCTTAATTAAATGAAAACCCAGGCAGAAGCATTAGAAAGTGAAGTGAGGGCAGCCTGAGCTCTGACAAAGAACCTACAGAGGATCTCGCTGATGCTGCAGAGAGCAGGGCAAGCTGTTTCTCCTGGAGGGAAGAGGCTGCAGCCTTGCAGTGCTAGCTTCCTTCTGACAAGGGGAACTCACTGTGTTTGTGGCTATCGTGCAAGAACTGTGATGGTGCTCTGTGTCCAGCCCACATCCTTTTCACCCTCTCTGTGACTGACCTTCACCATAGTTGCCATTTGTTGGTGCTTTCTGCATTCTTAACTGCTATCTTTCAGCCAACACCAATATGGAGGGAAAAAAATTAGTAATGAGGCTCTGAGCTAGGGCATTCACAGTTCACATCAACCCTCTGAAGGCAATATTACCATGTCCTTTTATAAAAGAGCAAGCTAAAATCCAGAGAAGTTAATTATATGATCCAAGATCACACAGCCAATGTAGTAGCAGGCTACACTGGGCTATCTTCAACACCAGGTTTCTTTCCATAAGAACTGGTGTTTTATTGATATTGTTCTATCCCCATTGCCTCCACTCAGAAATCTCCTGGGTGGCTTCACTGAGCATTGCCAGGATGACAGCAAAGCCAACTCTGTCTAGATTTTCAGCCGAGCTCTGTACCGCCTCCACCTTGATTTGGTTGTTGTGTTCCCATAGGTCTCCACTCCATTTACCGGAGCCCTGTGAATCCCTCTCATGAGTACATGAGCCCTTTCATGAGTAAAACTGGTTTTCCACAGCAGAAAACTGCGAGTTTTAAGATTCACATTTTATTCCAACTCCTCTCTTTTCATTCTATTCCTGTTTTACCCAACAACACACCTCTGAATAGTGAAACCATGACATGGCATTCCATTTCAAAAATTAAAGTATTCTGGATCTGTGATTCTTTGCATTGATTATAGGTAATCACATACATATATTAATTATTTGATAAAAATAAAAAGTGATTAAATGCTTCACATAATCCTAAAATAGCAAGGTAAAACTTCTAGGCTCTGATATTTTACAATAAACAAATGATTCCAGTTCATTGGATTTATTAAAATTGGGATTTGAGGGGTTTTCAGAGGATGTGTTTGTGGTTAGGCACAACTCCACGGTGCACTATCAGCATTGAGCTCCAGGGGGAGCCATTGAGAGCCTGTGGTTGGTGGTGTTTTCCGAACTCCAAGGAAGTAAGATGATAAGGTTTAAAGCACTGGTTTGCGTCCCTGGCTGCAATTAGAATTGCCAGAAGACGTTTTAAGACCCGTGCCTGAGTTTCATTACGGGCAATTAACTCAAAATCTCAAGGGGTGAATCAAGACGCCAGTAATTTTTTAAAACCTTTGGTTTAGAGCAGGAGATGTGGAGACATGAATCTCGAATTTAAATTCCAGTTATTAACTCTCAAAGCTTCATTAGCTTCATTTGTAATGAAATGAAGTAATGAATTGTTTTCATTTCATAACATTGTGAATGTAACCCTTAGCATTGTACGTCTCCTTTAGTGATTATTTTTAAGTGATTACTAATCATTGTTATTATTATAATAAATATATAACTTGCTGCTCTAATCCATTAATGTCTTTCACAATTAAAAAATAATACTGTACCACCAATTAAATGCATTATTTTCCGAGAGATTGAAGAGCATGTGAAATATAATTAACATAGGATGAGTCAGAAGATAGTTCAGTCAAACCCATAATAATCCTACTGAACTCTGGCAATGGAAAGTCTACTGAAGATAACACATGGCAAAGGTCTGGCAATGGAAACTCTGGCACTGAACTTTTGCCTTTGATTAGTTTATCTTTCCATTCTAACTGCACTCTGCTTTCTTGTACGTTCACATTACACAACTCTCCCCCAAACACCAAGCATGAATTTGTAGTGAACTGTTAGTCACCTGCAACACTACAGATTTAATCACCTCCTGAGCAAACCCCTCCATTACTGAAGTCCAACAAGTAGCAAATCCTGTCAATTACAATTCTCGAAAGTCTCTCAAGCATTCATCATTTTCTCCCTTGTTCCTTCAAGGTGGGTCCATCTCTTTATAGAACTACTTTACCTACTACCAGCTCTGCTGCTAGAAATAAGTTTCTAAAAAATAAGTATTACCAAATTACTCTCTGCCTTAAAATTTCCTTTACTGCCTGTACTGGTTAGGGTTCTCCAGGTTCTCCAGAGGAATACACATATTTTATATATATATAATTATGCACAAGGATTTGTTGTTAGATAGGCTTACAGGATCAGAGGCAGGAGAGTCTACAATAGCTCTCTGAGAGCTGGAGGTTTAGTAGCTGCCCAGTCCAAGAAGCCAAAAGCCAAGGAACAAGAGTGATCAAGGATACAGCACCAGTCCAAGACTGAAGGCCTGGAAGCTCCCTGAAGAGACACTGCTAGGAGTCTGCTTTGGAAGGCTGAAGAAACTGGAGATCACAGAAGATGCGTCCACTCGGGCAGCCTAGAGCTCTTCAGAATGCATGCCAACTTCCTTCCTCTTTCCCTCTTATTTCATCCAGACTACAAGCCCATTTGGTGGGTGCCACTCACAATCATGGTGGGTCATACCCCCCTCAATTCGCCAGTCATCTCTGGAACACCCCACCGACACACCTAGAGTGTGTTTTACTAATTGACTAGGCTCTTCTTAATCCAGTCAAGCTGACATATCAATGATTAACTGTCACACTGCCTTACTGCCTACAGAGTCAACTCGAAAGAACTTAATGGAATATAAAAATCATCAAAATCTGGTTTACACCAAACTTTTCTTTTCCAAATCTTTCCTCCATCCACCCCTTCTCTCTAAGATGTCTTGATCTGTCCATTCTGACTTCTATGTTATTCTCCAGATGCGCCAATGTGACTTTGCATGAGTTGTCCCCTTTGTTTTAATGCTCCTTATTCTTTGCCTTGATAACTTAATTATATTTCAAGGCAGAGATCTTGTGTCATCTCTGTGATAACTCCTCCAACTAGCATGTGTTCCTTCTCTCTGCCTGTGCTTTAATATAATCCTGAACACCTACCTTACCCATAATCTGCGGGCTCATTCAGAAAAGAGTATGACTTAGTGTTCTTAACTTTTATCTGATAGAGGGTAAAGTGAGTAATTTAGTTAAAGCTATTTCATTAGAAATGAGATTTGGTAGACTATGTTGCGGAATTTAGAAAGCTCTAGTTGTAATGAGAACTCAGACTGAGGACTAACAAAAGACTTAGTAGATACTGGGATATTTCATTCAATGTGGAAGTCTCTGCTGAAGACATAAGCTGGAAGAGAAGTCCAGAGTTGATGCTGAATGTTACTGTGACGTTAAAGGACAGGAAGGAGAGAGCACAGAGCAATGGGCCATCATCACTGACCCCAAAATTGTTACACAGAGACCGTGTCCATCAGAAGCAGCTCCTCTACTTATGTTACCCAAGACAATTGATGTTAGAAATCAGAGGGCTCCTTCGGTGGTGCCCACATGTTAGAATCACCTGGTGAACTTAAAAAATATACATTCCCAGAACCCCTCCCAAGATGCAGATTGTGGAGCTCTGAAATCAGGCTTGATATTTTGGTTTGTTTTTTTTTAATTCCTAAGTGACTATAATGTGATGTAAGATTTGGAGCCAACTTTACCAAAAGAAAATTTCCAAAATATGTTGACAGATCATTGATTATTGTTAAAATAATTAGTTACCTGCTGTGAACTGGTAAAGTTTTCTCTCATTGAAATCCAGGAGTTATTTTCTGAATATTTTTATTTCATTCATCTGACAACATAAAAACATATGTCAAAGACAACATGCAAAAACTTTTGAACCTTACTTCATTTCAATAACAATCTACCAAGAAGCATAAGTCAACTTGAATCCAAATTTCATATTTCTTCATGCACTTCTCAGAAGACATGTTCATCTCCCCACAACCATTACTATGATGCTGTTTACACTGCATGAACTCAACAAGCATTGAGCCATAGAAACCTTATCCTTTTCTCGTGGATTCATGGAATGAAACTTACCTGTTCCAGAAGAGAACTGCCTGTTGCTAGTATTCCTCTCAAGTTTGCTATGGTAGAACACCTGATAGTATTTTTGCTGTGCTTTTGAGAACTGAAAGTGAGGATATACATGTCTTCCCCAAAGCTGTACAGCTTATTTTAATAGGCTGCTAGCATTTGTAGTTGTCATCACTGCAAGGCTATAAAATTTCTCTTGTTTTTCAGAGTCAAAAGCACCTTATGAAGCCTTTGAGTGAGTGATAGGAATTCCCGAAGACAAGTTCAGGCACTACTGATAGTAGTCCCAGAATAGAGATGCTGAAATGAACTAGCGGAAAGAATCCTGGAGCTGTATTGGGAAGATAAGACTCTAAAATTGGCCTGAAATGTTTTCAAATTTCTTGACCTTAAGCAGGTCATTTAACCCATAGGAACCCAATGTCTCTACCAAGAACATGGTAGTTCCTGCCCTAGGCAGACCACAAAGGGGTATAATAAGCACATAAGAAACCATCTTTAGAACAGCATCTAGTATTTTTGGAAAGTACAATACAAATAGATATTTTTGCTCCTCTTCCCTCTGTCATTTGTCTCCACTTCTCTCTCTGAGGTACCTGGGCTCCCCAAGTACCAGCTCCACTAAAATAGGCCCAAGTGGACAAGCAAAGTAACCAGACAGCAGGCTGAGGCTAGAGCTGGGATAAAGGACCAGAGAGGACAGCTGCAATATATAAGGTAAATGGATCAGAGAAAAGTAATATGTATTCCTGAATATCTTTTGTAAAATATTAAAACTATATATTTTTAATAAGAATTTGAATGACATTATAACTTTTCCTTACAGACTAATCAAAGGATTCCAAGAAGGAATAAAGACAAACTTATTTAAAAGGCCACCATAAAAATCTAATTTGAAAAGGCTAAATTAGATTGGAAGATGAAAATCAATAGATGCTGAAAATCCACAGATGCTGAAAACATGACCAATCATGACCAACAGTATAGGGCCAGACATAGAAATAAGAAAGAGAACATGAGACATCCCAATATGTTTGCTGCTATTTGTCATACTAGCTGTGACAGAAAGACCATGAGGCAAAACAGAAGAGCATGTGATCATAGAGTAGCATGAGCCCACAGCAGCTTCTCTGTGTTGCTTTATTCTGCTTTTTCAATTTATCATAATTGATAATTATTCTCCACTAACTGGTATCTATCTATGGTGAGAGCTGGACTGCTGTGATCTTAAATAGTCACCACTCTATTTCCCAAGGTAATTGCGACCTCTCCTTTCCTTGTTATCATCTGAAGATCGGGAAATAGGCTCAGAGAAGCAAAGCACTGAAGTACTCTAAGACTAAATTGTAAGTGTATGTTTGTGTTTATGTACATGTGTGTTGTTTGATTTGGTTTGGTTCGGTTTGTTTAATATTTTTTTACACAAGGGCTTCCTATGTAGTTCAGGCTGCCTTTGAACTCACTATGCCCAGGCTGGCCTTGAAATTGTGTTGATCCTCCTGCCTCAGCCTCCCAAGTGCTGGAGTTAGAGGGTTAGGCCACCACATCTGTGTGTGTGTGTGCATGTGTGTTTATTATCCTTTCTTCCTTTTGGAATCAAACATTTTCTTTCACTTAGGAAATAACCACAGAAAAATGAACATTTTCCTTTCAGTGAGCTATATTACTCATACATAGTAAAGATGTATATTCCTGCAAAAACCTATATCATATGTATTTTCCATTGATAAAGGAATACACAGATAGATGGATACACAGGTAGATATTCATTGGTTTCTATTCATAAGTTGGTAGAATTTTATAACATTATAGCTCAAACTTTTATTGCAAATAGGAAATCATAAAAATACAATTTTCGATGGGAAGAAGCAAATTTTAGATAAATGAGAGAAATAGTTACAATTATTAGTAGGAAAATATTCATTCACTAGGAGAAATGAAACAGGAGCAGGTTTCATCAATAAATATGACAATATATGTGTCACAGAGTTATTTTTGAATCCATGTTTGTTTGGAGAAAGTATGATGCCTTTAACAAGAACACTTATTTGGCAATATGTATAAAAATAAAAATGCAAAAGTGATGCTTATGTAATTTCTAATGGTAAAATCGCACTGAACTATCATTAGTGGTGTTTAAAATGGTAATTAAGAAGTCATTTAATGGGAATGTTAACCAATCTGCCATATTTTTTACTCCGATTGACACTACTTAAAATGAAAGCATAATTGATGTTCCTTCAGTAAAATCAGAGTAGAATCTGTAAAGAAGCATTTGACATCTATGGTAAAATTAAGGTCAAGGACTTCAGAAAATATGTTGCAGACTGTAACAGATGCTCTTAGATTAAATCATATTTCTATTAAAAACTACAGAGATGCTTAGTTGATAGGACCCAGAATCACAGAAAATCACAGAAATGGAGAACCAGTAGGGATATTCAGGAGCTAGTCATTCCCATCATTTTAAATAAGAGGAAACTGAAATACAGAAAGGTTAACTAATTAACTCAAGATCCCCGCAGCATTGGCTGGCAGTGCCTGGGTCAGAACTCCTATTGTTGCAACTATCCCAGAATGTCTTCCCTTTGTACCCAAATGAGGGACATTTTAATATTTTACATAAAAATATACCTGAGTAAATTGTCTTCTTTGATGGCACTAGATATATTAGATACATTCAAAAAATTGACCACTGCATTATTTAATTCCTGTTCTGGAAATTACTGAATGTTATATTTTATATTAAAGTCCAAATTCCAGAGAATACTATCATTTACTGAGCATCAAACAGATGTCAAACTAATATAAAATGTGCCACACATTTAAAAAAATAATTCCAGTAATACCATTAAAGATCAGCAAATATTAGCAGGTTGTGAGCGTGTGGGCAGTATCTTTTTTAATTGAGTTAATGAGCAAACACTTCGTCAGTTGTCTTTCACAAGATTTAATATTACCCAACATTTGAGTGCAATAACCAAACTTCTTCCATGAATCACTAAAGATTTGTCAACAGATGGGTAAGTATTAAAATACAAAACATAGTGAACATCATATGTGCTCTTTCAAGGGTAAATCAAGTTGACAATGGAGCACTAGCCCCTGTAAGAAATACATTCTAAAATGCCATATAATTTGTCACTTCTGAGTGTTAGTTCCTTATAATAGACAGGGAATTGGGAAATCCAAGCTCTGTTATAATTTTCAATATGGCATATTTGGAGGGACTCTGGCTTTAATGTTTCAATAACCAATAGGGATAGACTTCACAGAGTCCAGACTCCAGTCAATGAGGAGAATACAATTGACTAATTCCAATAATAAAGTTATAGGGAAAGCTACTCCTTCTTGTCTTAGTGGCAAAGACTCATTACTATAGCCAATACTGATTTACCAGAGATAGATCTCACAACCTTGTTCTTGCCAGGTAGGTATGGTGCCACTGAGCTAAATCCCTGGCCTCCCATAAGGTATTGTATCATCCATCCTTGTCACCATCCAATCCATTCTCTACATTTTGGTCTGAATAATCTTTTAAAATACAAATTTGATATTTCATATTCACCCTTGTTCATCCCCTACTTCTAATTATTCAGTTAGATCAAGACTATCTTACTACCTTACTTTTGGTTCCATGGCTCTTGAGCATGTACTTGGTAAAAAGAGGACTCAGTAAAGACAAAGGCTACTTTATGAACTCTCAGTCCCTCTGGGATTTATTACCTGAACCAGTGACTATATGATACATACTAAATTCGGAAACACTACTTTAGCAGATACTCTTAATACTACTCTCTGAGATACATAATTGCATTTTCTTCTTCATTGGTCTGCCTGATTACAGCTTCTTTCTGAAACAACCCATTCTTCGTCTAGTCAACAAGCCTAAGTCCAAGATTTAAAAACAGTAATAATAATAATTACAACAATAATAATGTGTGCTTACAGGACTCAGGAAAAGTCTATCTTTCTTATTACGTATTTACGGCATTTTTGAGATTTTGCCTCTTGGGTCGGTCCTCTCCAGCCTCAGTTTTCATCACTTCAAATTATTTGCACAATCCTCTAATGTGTAATGCTTTCTCAGAGTCTGATGCTCTTTTAAATTCACCTATTTGTTCATGTTTAATTGAGTTCTTACCTTATGTACCACACTGGATCTAACACTGAGGATAAAGTGTGAGGTGATGGAAATCATACTAATTATGAAGAAGTGAAAATGAAGAAACAACAAACACGTTAAATTTAATAAGAACCAAGATAAATACTATAAAGAGTCATTGTAGGCTGTCATGAGAACATATAACGGGAGGTTAGAGGCCAGTTGAGGTCTGGGGGTTTTCATGAGTAGCTTCTTCAAGAAAATGAATTTTGAGCTAATACTTAAAGTGAGAAATGAAAAGATATTCAAAGAAACTTTAAAAACAAACAACAGAATGTGCAAAGGTATTCTGGTGTGAGGATCACAACATTTTTAAAGAACTAAAAACAGAATATATAGGTTAACGCAAAAGAGAGAAGAGGTAAATAGGTAAAGTTGGTGAGGGTGGGCTTGTTAGCCATAGTTTTTCTTTATCCTAAAGTAAATTTGGAATTACTAAATAGTTTTAAGCAGAGAATTGTCTCAGATTTGTATTTTAAAAGATTATTCAGACCCAAATGCAGAGAATGGACTGGATGGTGACAAGGATGGACGATATATTACCTTCTGGGATGCTGGGGATTTAGCTCAGTGGCACCGCACCTGCC